TGACAAGCTCAGACGAGTTTACATGCTTTTTGCTGCGCAATCGTACGCCCAACAGCCACCCCTCCTCATCGCTGACTGCCACATGGCTACCCTGAATGCGCCTGCAGCCCCCCTCTCTGAACCGGATGATTCCACTCCACATTTTGTGTCTTTCTCCGCCCCGCCGGTGCAGCTGATCCGAACACAGAGGCGCTTCACACCACACAACATTTCCATTTCAGCAGCGGCAGCAGCAGCAGCAGCGGCGAGGAGCTTTCTTTTTCTCAGAGAAGTTGAGCCAACGGCGCCGGGATTCATGTGGCACCTCCGCGCTCCTCTTTCCCGCGGCGCAGAGTGGACTTTCACCTTTCCCTGACTGCCATGCCAAGACGTTTTGCTTTGGGGAAAGGTGCTGGCAGACATTATTATTACCTTTATCATTATTATTAGAATTTCAACAGTTTTACGCGAGCAGTCATAAAAAAGAAGCACCTGCGGATCTGGTGTGAGGAGGAGGGAGAGCGCGCAGAGAACCTGAAACACTGAGGAGCTTTACAGAAAGTGGAACAATGCTCAGACTTGAGACCATCCTTTGCACTTTTTCTGTGCTGTCAGTTGCAGCGAGGGCAGATTTTAAAGCGCGGAACTGCAGCGAGGTGAGGGAGGCTTGCGTAAGGAAAGGCTTCAGCTTCTCCCATGTTCCTCAGCAGGAGATCCCAGGTAAGACCGGGGACTCGTGGGCAACCTCCACGCTTTCAGTTTGTGGCGTTCTGTTAAATGCATAAGAAAGAAAGAAAAAGTTTGAAATTCTAAACCCCTATATTGCAACTCATTCCTGATGCAAAGCCTTCCTATAAAGCAGGTTGAACGCCTCAGGCTGCAGCTGCACATCAGTCAACCTGTTCTGCAGCTCCTCAACCACCTGTCAGTCACAAAGTTGCTCCTGAGAGTGGATCAAACCACATCAAATAGTCTCAACCAAGAAGACTGTGGATCAATAACTGAAGCAGCCTTTTATGCATTCATGAGCTTGTGGCAATAGACTTGCTGTAAACAGGGTGTCTGTTAGCAAAATATCTATCATGAAAAATGAACAGATTTTAATGAAACTTTCAGCATATCAGCTACAGCTGATTCACTTTTGGAGTGAAGCCAATTCAAGCTGTCCACCGAAGTCCAGCTAAGTATTATTTGCAAACAGCAAAAAAGGTGAAACCTCAGTCAGGTTTGTAGATAATGAAGTAAAGTTTTGTCGCTGAGACGCAGACCCGTTATCCTCAAAGCACCAACTGATAATGTAAGATATTGATGCCATTAATTATTAAAATCAATTAGGAATTACACATGAACTGTAGATTTTAATGAAACTTTCTGAAAGTAATCAATATATGAACATCTACAACTGATGAACTTTTGGAGTCTGTCAGATTCAAGATGGCCACCATAAATAATTGATGGCTACACAGTGAATTTTACAGATATTGATCAAAAGTTCAATGTGTTAGTAGCTGATTTTTTCACATCAAACACTAACAGATTACACAAAACCATGATATAGCGCATTTATTATTGTCAAGATTTGGCCTAAAATAACTACCTCTGTCATTTCTCAGCATGAGATGATTTTAGTCTAAAACTCTGGGATGAAAGGGCAACATGTCTTCACCCAAAATAATGCCAGGCCTCTAATTATAAAAATATGGATGCTGTGATTAAACCATCTTTCAGCTGTTCTGTTTGTTCTATCAATAACCTGCAACCAGGGTGTCCTTTTTCCACAACTCCAGCAGCCTACGGATCTGCCAGTAGAGGTCTGAGAGTGTGTTAACCCAGCAGGGATAATAGGTGGCCGGCTCTGCAGTCAGCTCCTGTCCAACAGAAATTAGATAAGATAAAAAAAAGCAGGTGAGTCGCTCGTTTAACATGGTTTCAGCCACAATTCTGCGGAGTAATTATCAGACCTGCTGGCATATGATAAGGTTTGACCTTTTGCACTCTTAAAACACCAGAATTATTGATGTTCAACTGAGTCACTTATTGCATGTCTAGACTAGAAAATTTATCTTTTTATTTCAATTACATTTTTCTTTGCAAAATGTGGAGAATGAAGTCTAGCATGCCTTGCTAGAGTGCATGTTGAGAGACCAATACAGAGGTATATACAGCGGGTAAAATAAGTATTGAAC